TTGAAAATGCTTATTGTAACGGATCACCTGGCACCCCGACTGGGTACCTCCGTTGATGGATGCTCCTAGTGCTTCCCGAGGGCTCCAAGCACTCCACTTGACACCATAAGCACTGCAGACCCCACGAACCGCTGCAGCTTGGTTGGGTTCTCGCCATCTCCTACCCACCCTGGACCTACGACAAGGCTCCAGGCTCCAGTGGGTGAACCTCTCTTCCTTCAGAGAGTGAAGCAGGAACAAGCTCTTAAAAGAGCTTAGTGATTATAGCCAAGGGAGTATACAGCGTATAGCAATCCCCAGTGTAGATGCAGCCTTTTCCCCCACACATGAGACGAGGGCGGCTCTATGTTGAGGGTAAAACAGGAACTCGGCAGTCTGAGGGTTTATTGTCTCTTATATACAGGTTTTTCCCACACGGTTACCACCCACGTGGACCTTGTGGAACACAGGATACAAAGTTACAAAGCCAATAAACAGGTTTGTACAGATAGACACTCCCAGATAATGTACACAAACCCTCCCCTCTGCCGGTGATACAATTAACAAACACAATGTACTAACTCAATTACCCACAGGCAGAAAACACACATTTTTCACAAAACATAAATCCCTGGATAGCCCTGATCTGGGTGAACAACATATCCAAAAATCACCCAGATCAGAGCAGGGGTTCAGGAAATTCTGGAAGTCATATTTGACCGACCGCAAGCATGGCTTTCATGCCCAAAACAGTTCCACAGATTTAGGCTGTGCAGCCGGTCTATCTCCTCCTCTATCCTGGAGATAATTGGCTTAAGTGGCTGTGGTAACTTAATTATCTCCAGTAACAGCAGCTATCTCTAAGTCAAAAACTGTTACAAAAACCACATAAAAAATACATAACTCTTATAATACAATGTTTAACCTATATGTCCAACATATCCCCAGATAGTTTGGATCTGAGCGCTCAATATGTCCAAAAAGCGCTCAGATCTCACGAATACAGTTGGATCGTCATAGGGTTAAACAATAGCAAGAGCTGATGGGAGATTGAGGAGGGACAAAGCAGCCAGTTTAAACTGGTCTGGCAGTGTCCCTGGGACAACGCCCTGCTGGAGAACAATAGGATCGCAAAAAGGGGGGTGGGGGTAGAGAGGCACATTTTCCCATGGATTTAAAGGGGCAGAAAGAGTGTATTAAAACCCCATAAGCCCAAATAGGGTTTCTAAATGGCAATACCCCCAGGGGCCATAGTCCCAGGGCAGGAGGCTGGCAAGTAGTCCTCTCCAAAGACTCATGGCAAACTCCCTGAAAAAGGCGAGTTTGTCACACTTATTTTATGTGAACTACATTGTTTAACGCATTAAAAACATTACAATGCTAGACTTTCCCATTTCTAAAATATATCAGGCAGGTAAATAATGGAAAATCTCTGAAATTGTGCAGAAATTTATTTTTATAAAATAAAGTATACTTTGTATAAGGTA